TAACCGGAATCCCCCCACCCCCCGCCCCTAAGCTCCCCCCTGCCTGCCCATCCACTCGCCTTCTTCCCACTGCTGCCGGGAAGCCATGCTCTTCCCAGCTGGAAAACCCAGAAGCATATTTTTCCTTCCTCCATAAACTCCTCTCTGGAAACCTCTGTTTTCCCATGTTTCTCCAAAAACAACGTCGTTTCTCCTTCCCCTCTTGCCAGTCCCTCTCCGGGGAGGGTCCTGTAGGACTTGGGGGGTCCTAGAGGACTTCAGGGGGCCGTGCGGCATCGCTGGTCCCCCACTGCTTCAGCAATTAATATAATTTACTCCAGTATCTCGCCAATGCTGGTGAGAGGGGCCGGGGTTTTGGGGGTGGTCAGGATCGGGCCGGCCAGGCCAGCACAGCAGCGCGCTGCTGCTCGTAGGCGACGAACATCACCACGTTCCAGGAGCCCAGCCGCAGGAATGAGGGGGTGAACCTGCGCCGGGAAAAACAGCTCTGGAGGGGGACAGCGTGGGGGACACCCCTGCAGTCCCCAAAACCCTGTGTGGTGTCCCGCTACCCACATATTTGGGGTGTGCGGGGTGATGCCGTGGCATGAAGCGGATCCGGTGCATGCTGGTGGCTGTGCACGAGTTTGCTGGTGCTCAGTGGGGGGTGTCTCCCCCCAAACTCACCCCTTGTAGAGGCCGGTGAGGCCGTCCTGCACGAGCAGGGCCAGGAGGCAGCTGAGCGCGTTGCGGTACTGCCCAGGGCCCGCGTTCATGTACCGTGTCTTCACCACGTCCACCGGTGACGCCACCACCGTGGCGCAGAAACCGGCCCCGAAAGCAGCCACGAAGTGACAGGGGAGGTTGTCTGTGGGGCAGAGATTAGGGGTGAGGGTCGTAGGGATGGGGACGGAGCCCGGTGGTGTCTCCCCCCCGCCCCGGTGCTGTCCTCACCTGTCATGAGCTGTGCCCGCAGCAGCGTCTCTTTAATGAGGTCGTAGGTGACAAGCTCGCTGCAGTTGATGATGGCGTTGCGGGCGATGTTGGGCATCATCCCTGGGCAAGAGGGGGATAGTTTTGGGGATGACTGTCATACCCGTGGGATGTACTCCTGTTACTGTGCTCCCGTCCCTGATCCCATTGCTGAGCTCATCCCTCTCCCCATCTGCATCCCGCAGCCTGTTCCCATTCCGGTTCTCATCCCTATCCACATCCTGGTACCCCATCCCATCATCTTCCCTGTCCCCATCCTTTTCCCCATTCTGGTTCCCATCCCTGTCTCCACCCTCTGCCATCTGCATCCCCTGTCCCATCCCTGTCCCCATCCTCATCCTTGGCCACATCCCTGTCCCCCCCCAACTCCTTGTCCCCATCCTTATCCCAATCCCAGACCCCATTCCTGTTCCCATCCCTGTCCCCACCCTATACCATCTGCATCCCCCATCCCAGTCTTGTCCCCGTCCCCTTCATCGCCATCCCTGTCCCCAACCCACTCCCTGTCCCCATCCTCATCCCAGCTCTCTGTCTCCATCCCCGTGCCACTCCCTGTCCCCATCCTTATCCCAATGCCTGTCCCCATCCTTGTCCCCTCTCCCTGTCCCCGTCCCCTCCACCCGATACCTCTCCAGAGCCCGCGGACGCCCTCCTCCCTGGCGATGGTGCGATAGGCATCCACGGTGCCGTTGTACCGCCGGCTGCCATCCACCAGCGCCCCGGT